GGTTTGCTTCGTTGCCCTCAGTCAACATTAAATGCTTTGTTTCATCAAGTTTTCCTCTTTTTGTTATGGGTCCCTTCCTACCTCCAATTTTCTTTTACCCTCTTCCAGTCCACCTGACAGACCACAAGGATAAACCTGTCAAGAGACAAGTTCTCCTAGAAAGCATTCACGGATACTATTTACCAAGTGGTGTCCCTTCGCTCTTTCACACAATTCTTAAGCAAGTCCCTGAAAATAACCAAATGGCATTTGAAGGAGACAGAAGAATTAAAGAACATCCAGAATGATCAGCCACACTAAAGCATGGGTTGTGTATCATACCCGAAAAAAATACATATGTATGTGCACATACACACACACACAAGAGTTTGGGGGCTACATAATAAATATATCTCATTTGTATACGAAAGCCTGGATTTCACTGAATCCACCAGTCCTGGGGGGGAGATGTGTGCAAACTCATGTTAGTTCCATCAAGGAAAGCACTTAGCACTAAATATTTTTGACCCAAAATATGCTAACAGCTAGGCTTTTCTCATGCAAATGCAGACTGCCTACAATGAATAAGTCTGCTTTCCACGGTAGAAAGAAACTGAGGCTTTGGATTTAAAACAAGGAGCTATGCAACCATCACGGCAAGTTATGAAAAGATGAGTTAAGGTAATCTGAACGTATCAGATGGATATCAGAAGTTGACTAATGTGATGGTTATTTATCCCAGCAAAATGTCCATATGCATTTTATTTACAGAAGTGAAGTGGAAAATATGCTCCAACCGCACAGTTAATCAGAGAAGTCTTGACACACCAAAGAGCTCTTTCTGGATGAAAAGAGCACACTCTCTCTTTGGAAGAGTAACCAGAAAATAAGGCAGGATAAACAACTGTTTGATTTCACTTTCAGCCCCCAAATGAATAACCTCCAAATCTCAGAACGCATCTAGCAGTGAAAGGCTGAGTATACAGTCCTGTTCATGGTCTCCATGGGAAGTTAATTATGCAAAAAATGGTACAAAACCATTAGTTCCACTGTAGATGTATGCAGACCACCCACCCTTCCTTCCCAGGAAGTACAGGTCCAAAGCATTACAAACCTTTTAGAAACTTTGTTGCTACAAGCAAGAGAGAAAAAGTTTAAGTCACAGAGGTAAAGTTGACTTGAAAAAAAATAAAATATCTGGATCTAGAATTTACACACCCGCTATACTGTCCTCAGAATTAAGACAAGTGATCAGTAACTCTCCCATAATCTGCACAGGTATTACAAATCTTTGTGTGCCCTTCCAGCACACACCTCCGCTGTACTAAAAAATTAAATGAAAGTTTTAAGGGTTGCTTTGTAATTAGTGGCCTAAGGACAGAGGCAAAGCTCTTCCTACAGTGGAAAAGATGAGGCAGAGAGTGAGGTATTTTTCCTAAATTTGAAGTTTTTCCTAAATTTAAAGCAGACTATTAACCTCACCTCCTTAGTTTAGTACTGTCACCTGCATGGAGAGCATCAGCCCAGTAAAACTACAACCCCTTCCTTAGTTCATTTCTAGGGACACTTAACGATACTCTCTACAATTTCATTAAGTGATGGAGAGATTCAGGCAATAATGAAAATTACAGCTACGCTACTTAAAACATCGGTGCTTAGGGACATGGTTTAGTGGTGGACTTGGCAGGCTTAAGTTTATGGTTGGATTTGATGATCTTAAGGGGCTTTTTCAGCCCAAGTGATTCTGTATCATCCCACGCAGCCCAACCTGTAGCGATACTCAGGACATCCTTGCTTTTAACTTAGTACACAGGCAGAGAAATAGCTTATTATATTCTTGCCAGCAACTCACAAGGGGGAAAAACCCCAAAACCAAAACAGCAATAGTGTTAAGTTATCAGTGCTGAAAAATGACACAAAATAATCCCAACGTGTTAAAATCTACTTTTAGACACCTGAACATCAGCTCAGCCAAGAAGCTTCTGCTAGCGACATCTTTCTCCCATATCACTCGGGAGTTAGCTATTAAGCTCAGCTATCCAAGGTACTCACATTTGCTATAAAAAAGCAGGATGTTTATTGTTTTCATGATGAACTACATCATTTCTATGTAGAAATGTAAATGAAATACAACTATTTGTATTATTACAGCCCATTTTAAAATGATATGCAACAAGCATTTCAGCAAGTATCGGCACATTTGATCTGTGGTACAACCTGATACAAACACAGGGTGTGAACGGAGTTGTTATTCCAAATTTACATAGACAGTGCACTTTAAACCCAAAAGCTGATCTCAGCTCCAGTAATAGCAAGAGAGGACGTTTTCTCCTTCATGAAACAATATACACGAGCAGCATATACATAATCCATGTTTTACAAAGCACTTTGAGGTTTAGTGACTGGTCTGGAGTTATCTGAGTTACACTTGGTTCAAAACGGAGTGCTCCTTTTCGATACAGGACCTTCCTTGCAATGAAAGCGCAAATCCATCAAAAGCACCATCTTCTCCGCTTTCAGAAAACATACCACACATTATGCTATAAAGCAGTTATCAATGACAAAACTGACCTTCTAAATGTGTTTGAATACTGCAATTTTCCCACAGAAGCTTATTTAAAATATCAGTGGGTGACCCTTTAAGCAATAGCATTTTACACACGCTAAACCCCTTCATCTCAAGCATCCAAACAAGCCTATGGCTGAATGCCAATGAAGTCAGCAGCTGCACGACAATTCTCTCCCCCTCTCAGGTTGTCCACCGAAACACAACACGGAAGCAGCACTAAATGTATTTTCCCTTTCTCAGTTACAGAGGAAAAGGGGAACAGCTACCTGCCCCTTGTAGTCTTATCTCACATTTACCTTGATAAAATTATCTGAGCATCTTTAAAAAGATAGTTTCAGGTCTACCCTTAAGCAATAAGAAAATGGATTTAAGATGCTCTTATTACTACACATATTTAAAACTGCACAAAGGTGACCCAATTGCAGAGAAAAAAATATGATTGTGATCCGCACATAGAACGATAAGAAACAGTCTTGAGAAATTTAGCTTCTCATTGGATTACTTGACAATTAGACTCTCTCATTGCATAAACCAAATTTGTCTCACTCTTCTGCCAGCCTTAAAAGTTGACAAGTGCTTCACTCTCTTGAGATTAGAAGGAACTCAAGATGTTTTCCAGCAAGCAAAGTCTACCAAGTTAAAAGAAGCCTTTAAAGAACCTATGATATTCAGTACACAAAAGTGATACTGTTTTTTTAACAAGTTGAACCACACATAAAACTTCAAAAGCTGATTTAACATCAGTGGTCTTGACAGAAGATCAGGTCATAGTTAATTCTCTTCTCCAAGGAAGCTCTTTGGGAGCATTTAACGATTCATTAAATAATTTCAAAGCTTCCCACTCACGATGGGGGAGCAAGATATACGTACTTATATCATGAAATATATTTAATTCAACACCAAAGTACTTGTATAAACATGTTTTTCTTAGACTTACGGCATTTGACTTTGCTGTATAATGCAGTTGGTGCCAACCACTCTCAGACTGTGTTTGGTGTCATGGTGACAGGGAAATAGAGTAGGTTTACGTTTTACTCCACATTTTGAAAGGCAGCAATTCAAAATAAGGCTCAATTTGCTTGTTTAATATCACCATCCAAATCTTGGAAGTCAGAGGCTTTTCCCGGGGGTGAGAAGCTCAACGCTATGTAAAACGGTAGCAGGAACATCAGACTCCAGTAAGATGTAGCAGTCGGTATATTTACGCCACTCCAATGGCGCCTGCTTTCATTGTCGTTTTATCTCTGAGGGACACAAGTGAAAAGGAAGGAGCAGTATAACACATGCAAATGACAAGCTAAGTTCAGTATCGTCAGCTCAAATGCTGAAAGGCAGCATATCCAAAAAGTTTTGCACAAAAGACACTTAAGCTCCAGCTCTACTGAGTGAACAAAGTAGTACTGGATAGTGAACCCTTTTACCCTGTTTTCTGGATTTTTCTCAATGCAATTATCAACTGTGGATTCTTGAACAGGCAAAACACAGAAGGCAGTGTGCTCATCTTTCTGAAAAAGACTGGAAAGACCAAATTCATTGCCTCAACAAAACATTTCTGTGAATGTCTCCTCTTGCATGCCTAGGAGCCTAGATTTCTTCATATCAAGTGAAGGCCAAAAAAGATTGGTATGGCTTCTTGCACTGCAGAAGTGCATAGTTCGACCAAAACTCAGCATTACAATTAAACTAATTTGGAAAAAAAGGTATTTTAAAAAAAAATCATACTACAGGAATACCGAGCATAGGGAAATGCTGGCAAGTTTGTCAAACTCTACAATAAGAGGCAAGCCATTTTTATTTTACTGTAAAGCTGTAGTAAGCTTTTAGTGGTCAGATATCTTCCAAGAATGTTTATTAACATCAGCTTTTCTTTTAAGGTAGCAGCTACTGTTTAATTCCACAGTACAACCAAAAGGACCGAGTTCTTTGGTGCAGTTCAAAGACAGAAATTAGTCAAAGCAAAAATTAGTCAAGTAAGCACAACTTAGTTATGTTGGGATGACCACCCCAAAACAGAAATGGCTCTATTATGTATAAGGCTCCTTTTATCTCTATGGAGAACACCGATATTATGACCAGATGTTGTGGTTTGGGCCAGACTGGCCACCGAGATGAACAACAGGACACCAGGATGCCCTATTAGACTGCAGTCTCATCTCAACCACTCAGGAGTTCAGCTATTCTACTCTAACAGCTTATTATAGGCAAATAAAACAATGGATTCAAAGTGCATAGAACTGCAGTTAGTTTCTGCAGTTCTGCAAGGACAGGTTCTTGGCACTTCTCTGAAAACAGTGAAAACCTATTTTTGTTACAATCGTTTCACAATTGTCTCATTCCTTAAGTGTAGAATAGGTTAAATAGGTTAACTTTTTTCAAAGGGGGGGGGGGCAAATATTTGAGGTAATTGCTGCTATGAAATGAAGCTTACATACGCAGTAGTGAACAGACACTAAGCACTCTGTTTCTCATTTATTTCAGGCAATGACAGTGGCAGAATTTAAACCCTCATATGCGATGAGGGCACAGCCAATAATGACATCATATAGAGTTTGTTTTCTACATAGTCAAATATATAAAAGTTTCATGAAACTCATCACTGGGACAGCCAGCATAGTCAGTCCATGAGTTGTCTATTCAGTTAGACCAAGCTTCTTCTTCAGAGATTCTGGCATTTCAGGTGGAGGTGGACGAGGAAGTCTGAAATAAACCTTCACAGAATCGTAGATGAACCACTGTAGTGCAGTCAGCGTACCAATCATAATAATACGAGCAAACAGACCTTTCCATACACCTGTAGAGCAAAACATAAAGCATGAGGAGCATCAGAAGCCAGGACAAAAAGAAGTCTTCCCCAAAAAACAAAACACCACAAACATTTGATCCAAAATACATGAAAGTAAGGATGTACCTTTGAATCCAAGCCTCATAAGAACCTGTGAAGCAGAACTGCCTTTTTCTTTGTTCAACACAGACACCACGGAGTCAGCAGGATGGGAAACAATTGCACAGAACACACCAGCTGAAAGAATAATTTGACGTTAGTTCTGTGGTGTTTTAGCTGTACCATTACTTTGTACACTAAGTCCAACCAACTGCAACCACACCTTCTAATAAATTGCTAATGAATTGCACAAAAGTTATGTCAAGCCTCCTGGCATCCTAAAAGGACAGCAAGTATATACTTATGACATGAATGTTAGAAAACACCTCGGTTCTGCTCTTGCAGCACCTCTTCTGCTGGAACAAAACTTATTTGGAATTTCTGGATATTGAAAATCCCCCCTCCATCCAGATTTCTCTCCCTTTCCTTCAACATTCCCCAGCCTAGCAAAGATACAAGTTTCTTCCACTTAAATGAGCTGCAGTGCCTAAAGCTGGACATTAACATTGCTAATACAAAAGAATAATTAAGAGTATGGTCCTATTACAGACTCATTTTCCACTTGCAGATTGAATAGGATTTTTTCCCCCTGCACATTTTAAAGTTGCAAGTAAATTCTCCCATTCTAGTTACATCTGATATTCTGAAAAGGCTTCTAGAGTTGTGGTACTCCATTAATGAAGTATAGTACTTAAAGATTCCTTACCAATATAGCCTGCAACAAATGTGACTACCAGCTGTTCTCCTTTTGTACATTCACTTCGTGGCTTGGGAACGACGTACTTGTAGAGAGCTTCAACAGTACGTTCAAAGCAGGCAAATTTCATCATTGTGTATGGAATCTGTCTCATCCACAGTGGAGCAACACCCTTATAGAAACTTAACCAGAAGAAGCAAACTTAGTTTCGCTTTCTGCAGTATTTAAGGTACATTTCTAACTTGAAGACAATTAGTTAGCTTATTGTTGCTATCGGAAATACAGTTTCTGACACTGACAATGTAAGGCTCGAGTGTCTTAATACTTACAGAACAGAAATTTAAGTTTTATTAGTTCCCAAGTGCTAACTTAAAACAGCAACACAAATTAGAATTTACCCAACGCCTTACGCTGCACAAGTGTTTTTGTAGTCACTTTTCAGATTACAATGCATTGCAGTAACGCAGTACTGATACTACAAATGCAGTAACGCTCATGTCTGCATACCAGCCACGTCCCGATAGTGATAAATGACTTGTATATTTACAGCCACTTCTATCAGAACAGAAAGCTAACATGCAGTTATAATACTCTTACATGCCAATGACTCAAGCATCTTTGACTGTACAACCAAAAAGTTGCTGAATATCTCTGACTGGAACTGCTAGAAACTGAAGTTATCCAGCAGAACTCAGCACAAAGGTATTCACAAAGATGGATCTAAGGAGCATGTGGAATTAACAGCCAGTTCAGCACAGATTCCCTGAAGTACAAAGATCAGAAAATATTATAAGCTTAAGGCACAATAGTTTTAGCAACAGTCTTTCATTAGGAAAAAAATACTCAATATCAAGAACCTGAATAAAAATTAAAATTAAAGTCAAGAAGATACTTACGCCCAGATGCCTTCTTCTCCAAACATTTTAGGTACAGCCTCCCGCAGAGTGTTAGCATACCCAGGCTGAGTCTGAATGCGAACTTTAGCAGCTTCCATTGGAGCCAGAGCAATGTCAGCAAAAAACTCCGCACTGGCAGATGCAGCTAAATATAGCGAAGTACGCCACAAATACGCGTTTTCCTGAAGCGAATTTAAACACACATTTATATTAATGAGTCGTGCTTTTGTAGTTACTCTGCATTACTAATACCATTATGTTGCAAACATATAACCTCATGTAAACTGCTTAAGGCTTACCTCTCCCAGCATGTTGCCATATAGGATTTTGAAAACTTCATAGAAACCAAATTTACAAAGCCCCTGCATGGAATATCCAATAAAGGTTGGAGCCCATCCCTTAGCCAAGCCACGAACGCCATCTTCTTTGACCGTCACTGAAAATCCATTGAAGATGCTCTTGTATTTTTGTGGATCAACCTAAACAGAATAGGCAATTAATTGCTTGATACAGCTTACTACTTCCCTTCTCACACCCCCATCTGAAATACAAAATTCTTAAATTCCTCGTACAGCTGGCTTCCTAAGGTTCCCTGGACAGACGATACACTCACCACAAGGTTACGCTAATGTAACTGTAATGATCACTCACTCAAACCCTAACTTATTGTAACAGTTCCTCAATACTCGGGAACCACCACACTCTCTGAATTTTGCTTTACATTTATTTTCCAAATTAACAATACGACCTTCTGTATCAAAACATCTACTGAAATCACTGTTTAACACTGTCAGTAGTATACCGGTATAATTATGTTTAGATCAGATTCTTTAGAAATTTGACAGCTTCTGTCAGTAATTTCATCCACACCTCATGTCACACCTATGTACACTCAAGTGCTGCCACAAACCAAGCCTGATGATTCACCCGATTCTTAATCAGAAAAGGTTATTTGTCCTCTGTTAGTTTGATCCCTCCACATAGATTAAGATGGATGGAGCAAGCAGGTAAGCAGATCAAAGAGTACTCAAGAACTTCTACACTTGTACTTTGACTTCACAGTAAAGGCCAAGTACAAAATATTTTCTGCACACAAAACTTCGAATAATCTTGTTTCACGTGAAAGGAAACCATTTAACAAATTCTTAAATGGGTCATTCTGACAAATTTTAAGTCACATCACACTGTTGTTTTTTGTATTTGACATCATCCAACATTTCCTCAGAGAAATAAGAAAGACAGCAAATTAGAAGTCAACCAAACCTTTCAGAAAGAGCTATGGGACCTGCACTGACTGATACTTGCAATCTGGCAACAACCTACTTGAGAACTAGTTCACCTATGTCTTGCAATCCGGCGACAACCTACTTGAGAACTAGTTCACCTAAACATGTCAATTTTAAAAGATGTAGAATTTCAGAAAATTGGATATTTAATTGGGCATGGTAAAATGAGACTATGTTCATGTCAGAACCATGCTTAATTATCATCTGTGTAAAAGGTGACCTCTTCTTAAAGACATGAGAGAGCAGGCAACGGGTGTCTTCCTGGAGAATCTAGGAAGGATTATTAATAACATTCTCTGTACTTGATCTGTAAAGAGATAATGCTGACAGGTTTTGCAAGGTCACCCCTGGAATCCGTGTGGAACCCTCCTCTTGCACCTTCCTCTACGTGCTGGAGAAGGACGGGGAAGCATCAACACCCTCATAACGTAGGAAGCCAACGACTGGTAGTCCAAATCAAACATACCGACCAAGCAGTTGAAGCCTGCGAAGTATGAGGCCTTGCTCCCAGTTGTACATGCAGTATTGTATATGCCACATTGTATAGGTCTCAGGTCTTCTGCCCATTAAGCCAATTTGCAATCAGAATACGAACTGTTTGAGATGCTACATCTTTTTTACTCATCATCAATCTCTTTCTCCCCAGGAAATTTATCCTTAGGCATGGGTAGTCAAGCTACTGATCTTGGATTTTGAAGTCCACAACATTAGAAAAGTGCACTTAAGCTGTATTTTCAGAAATAAAACACATACTCAGCTACAGCTGTTCCCTACTAGTAGGAACAGGGAATTCCTATGCAGTTAGCCTGGTCTCAATGCAAATTTTGTAGAAAGCGGCATGTTGCCCCCATTTCATGCTCCCTGTGTTTGTCTGATGCGTTTAAGAATTACTAGTTTGAGACCAGAATTTCAGGTTTTCTTAAGTATGTGAAAAAGCTTCCCGTGTAAAGATTGCTAAAGGCCTTCCAGAAGAACACAATTTTAAAGAATATCACATGCAGTACTCCTAGTGTGACTAGTAGGTCTGACTAATTAGTAGTTCCCTCCCAATTTCAGGAGTTCTAGCATTATAAAATCACCACTTTTATAATCAGCATCAGCCTAGGCAACAGGGAAGTCGTTAACTACTTTATCTCCAGAAATTTAGAAGTGTGCTTTAATTTGCTTCATTCTTGAGGCGCAGATTTGCCTGAATAAATCCAATTGTATGTTTTTATCCATGGCTGTTCACTAGATGATTTTAACGTGGAAGCTAGTCTCACAAATGAAGTGCAACGTGACAACACTTCTTTCAGTTCAATCAAGAACCAATTCAAGGAAATTAGCCACAAGCACTCAGGGCCTTATGAATACTGTACAAGTTTTACCCATTCTATTCAAAGTGGCATCATTAAAAAGTATCCAATCCATAAGCCATGCATTGATATCCACAATGTTAATGGATCAAATTATACATACATGTCACGCCAGCCTAAAAACCATAGATCTTCAAAACACCCAAGATTCCTTACTCCAATAGTACATGAATAGTGTTGTATAGCCTACCAGTCAGCAAAGAGCAACACGGAGGGGGGGGTGCCTTCTAGCAAATATAGTCAGTTAAATGTGCCTTAAATGTAGTGAAAAATAATTAATCTGGATTATCCTAAATGCCTCTGCTTCCCTTGAAAGTGGCATTTTGTTAGTCTCGCAGCAGCAGACTTGATAAAGTAACATTCAAGTTTACTTGCTTCCTGTCATCCAGAAAAGACTATGTCCCTATTGTAAACTCTTAATATACCAGCTACATAGAGAAGTTTAAGAAACGTTTAAGTTAATACAAACCTGCATACGACATTTCACTAAATCCAGAGGTACAACAGCAGTGTGTGTCAGGCCACAACTTAGGACCCCACCAACGCCACAGAGCGCATAAAACTTGAGCGAGCCATATTCACAACTGTATTCTGCAGCAAAAAATAAAGACACACCATGCTTTTACATGAACGCCATGCACTGTTGGACAATGATGTCCAGGGGATAGTTTACGCCTCCAATTCATTAGTAGATTAATTATACCACACTAAACATGCTTTGTCAATGTCACCACATACCAACGTGCAGAACAAACCTGTATTCTGCATTTAACCAGGTCTAGAGGAACCAGTGCTGTATGTGTTGTTCCACAGCTAATAATCCCACCAAGGCCACAAAGCATAAAGAATCTGCCTGAGCCATATGCACAGCTGTATTCTAGTTAATTGGGAAAAAAAACAACATATATATGATCAATCATAAATGGTAACAAAGACCAGAAAAGAAACAAAATTTGCTGAGTGCTACCTTCAGTATTAAACTGAATTAACATCCCATGCTTATTATTCAATTGTAGTATTGTACTCAAAAGTAATTCCCTTGCTTTAAATTAACACCTTTTGAACTGACAAGATTGGGTTCTAGGCCTTCCAAATTGAGTTTGTTCCTTTAAAAAAAAAAAAAAGGAAGAAAGTCAAGTTTTAGCTCACAGCACATTTACATGACAGAAATTAATCCCAGAAGCTGCTAATAGAAATTATGACTTAAAGTTGCAATATCCAACATTTTCTTACATCAAGGAATTAAGCAAATAGAGTGTTTCTCTAGTATTCTGAAGACAAAGCTTCTTTGGTTAAATATTCTGTGATAGTGCAACTTCTGTATTGAAGTAGAAATCATACAGATCAACGAAATCCACGCTGGATTGTTCTTTATACAGACATATTTTCAAGTATTTTTGAGATTCTTTATACAAGTATTTTTTTTATTTCCTTTCAAATATAGAATTTCAGATTTATACAGCTTCTGTTTAATGAAATTGCAGAATTTTATTAATCATCACATTCAAAGCTTATAAACAAGGTTCATTAAAGAATCTTTCACAACACATTTAATCAAGGGATAATTCATTTGCACTTTTCCATGCAGTACTGTGTATAAAACATCCCATTTTAAAAGAACAAGTTATTTTCACAAATTCCAAGAGAGCAAACTGGAGCTGAAAAACAAGAATCAGTTTCCCTGTCCCATTTTTGAAGAAGCTAAAGAGGGTATTACGTGCAACCAGAGAACGCTGGTTTACAATTAGCAGTACGAAATAAGCATAAGGTAGTAGTGCAGTTCAGCTACTATGATTAGCATTTTAAATATATAAGCCAAAGTAAAACTAATATACTGAATAAGCATATAGAAAAAATATGCTACGTAGAAATACTCCCCAGAGTAGAAAGGGATAATCTAGGGGGTTTTTGCTATTAGATCAAGTGGTGTTACTCCAATATAATGGGATAGACATTAAAGTGCTACACCAACTTAATAACAACTATCTCCAGAGAAACACTGATGAAAATCAAAGCAAACACTATCTTATTCAGAGCTTCCTGGCCCTGTGTTTTTGCTTGTGAATTAAATTCCTTTATGAACATTACCAAAAATTCACATTCAATACCATCAACAGAACGCCAGATAACACTAGCAGGCTTATCCAGGTCATAACTTCGCTATTGTAAGGGAACTTCTTTCCCAAGATGTTCCAGATTGTACGTTACAGTTTACATTCACATTTCTCACCTTATTCTTCAAAATTAATCACTAAGACAATAAAAATGTCATTTTTTCTTTATTCTAAAATAACAAAATACCAAATCACAGACGCTGTATTAAGCCTACACTTAAAGCAAGGAATCAGTTAACAGTCAGAATAATGCATAACTTATGAGAATTTTTTTAATTGAGATACCGCTCAAGACTGTAAATATGCTGGTCCGGGACCTACACACACTTCTAAAATAGCTTGGTTATACTAGCAGATCTGCAGACAGAAGTAATAGTCTGTTTACAACTTGCCAGAATGTTTGGTTAAATAAACAAAAACAAGGCTTTCTATGCAGGTGCAATCACAGAACAGACTCTGGGTCTGTATTATGGGGCAGCTGTGCCTAGCTGTATCCTTGGCCTGTGGCACAACAGTATTGCAGTAGTTACCATGCTGCCCAGATACCGGAAGTTCACACTCCCTTTTTCACAACAATTTCTGTTAGAAGTCATACTCCTTAACTGACAGAGATAGACATTTGTAGAAGCCGCTGAAAAGTAGTGTTTAATGTATCTCCTCTATTACAATAGTATTCAGACGGACCTGTCAGCTAGGTGTTCAAAAACAGTAATTAAGAAAAGTCAAGCCAGTATCAACTAGGCTTCAGCTCTTTACATGTACCCAAGTTCACAGAGGTACAGCAGTATTAGGAAAAAAGCCATAGTAGATCCCAGACTTTGTATTTTGAGTAGAGTCAAATTTCCTAAAAACTGTTACCTCAAAAGAGAACTGGCAAAACATGTAGTGGAAGGCAAGAAAGTTATTCTAACTTACCTAGACACTGAGTTAAGACAAAGGCCCTGAAGCTACTCAAACATAAATATACAGCAGAAAAACATGCCTGCTCTGTTAAGACAGCTACATCATAACTACTTCATTTCTTTGCTTCTGATCTGACACGTTAACAAGGACAAATTCCAAGAGCTGACCATAAAACACTCTGTCTCTGAGCTGTGTTATGGTTGATGCCCTGAGCTGAACTCAAAAGGTCCTGTGGTTTGTACTGACTTTGTGTGACCTTGTGTAAGCTCAGATATCTTCTGCAACGTGTTACTCTCCCAATACAAAGGCCAGAGAACCAAATGGTATGTGAAATAATGAACACAGCAGAAATTACTACAAAGACTACGAAACTCTGGTCACCTTTGACTGCATCTGCCTACGAATAGGATAAAGATCAAGTATAATGCTTCTAAGAAATAAGCGTACCTACTGAATATATTTAGCATACTGAGGAGTGATTTAGGGCTTTAGTTAGCTAGCAACAAGATTACTACACTGAAACCCAGAAGTACTTTCCCAAAATCTTAATAAAATCCAACATGCAGTTCTGTCACTCTTTCACATATTAATATTAACACAAGAGCACTGACATACTTCAATAATCACAGTACTTCAGAAAACGTGTCTTGCTGAAAGCACTACTTCGAGTTTCCTTAAATAAAGGCAGAGAGATACTTTATTAACAGCTGAAAAGAATTAGCATTCTAACATCTACCTCCACTGTTAAGACTATTGTCAAGGTCTGACCTTTGCAAGTCACAGAAGTGGTCAGGAAACAGAGAAATGACTTACACTTAAATCTAAAATGCATCACTGTATGTCAGACAGCACGGCTATCTGGTGCGTGCCCCATAACTACAAAGAAAAAAAGGAAGAAAAAAAAAAACCCGAAACAGTTGCAGGCACCTCTAACGTGTCTGGATATTCAGATGCCCAGCTGTGGGAGTGTGAAAAATACAAGTAAAAGGAAAAAAAGGATGGGAGACGTCTTTTCAAATCCATCCAGATTCACACGCTGCTCTTCTGCACAGGAGAAACTAAGCATGGGCCTAAAGCTTCAGTCCCCGAGGCTGCAGGCCCGGAACAGCGAAAAAAAGCACTCCCTCACCCCCAAGGCAAACTCCATCGGGGGTCTCTGTAATCACCCTGAGACAGAACCTTCCTGTGTCCTTTCCCCAGTAACACCGGATCCCTGCTGCCGCTCGGCACACACCGCACGGGGAGCGGAAGAGGCTGCCAGCGCCTCCCCCG